TGAATTAGCAGATCCATGAGAAAGAAAGCAGCTGAGTTACATTAATGTCTTTCCCCCAGCAGACACCAGGCAGCTACTTCATGCAGTCCCTCAAAGCCTCCATTTTTCTTGGGACACCAAGCTTTAGGTTTAAACTCAAGTCTCCATATAGGATGGTTCTGCATGGGGACTTTTCTTTCAAATGCTGAGTACAGTCAAGAAAAGTTGGGCTTTCCCTGCCTCTTCCATCTTTGAGATCTGGTCCCAGCTATCAGCAGTGTGAACAAGTGGATTCTGCGACTGTGCCTCGTGTCATGCTTCTTAGATGGGGTAAAAGATACACAAGGTATATAAGACAAGGTCTGTATGGCTAGAGCATGTGGTTGGAGACTCAAAAGATCAAAATTCAGTCCTTAGCTAATCATAAGATTCTTGCTAGACTCCAGGTAAGTCACTTCATCTTCTGTAGCCATACTTCCCTTTCTGCAAAGTGGGGCTAAAAATAGTGGTTTCAGCAGCCTTTGCCTGCATTTCCTATTTAGATGAAAATCTTTTTCAAGGAGGCTATTTTAATGTGCTTGTGCTGCAGAGTCCTGGGCCCGAGATTGTTCACTGTAATAAAATTACTCATCTCAACCCATCCCACAAATTTCCTTTATGTCAGGTTACATCTTTCTTTTGAATCCGAGGACCTGTTCAGTATTTGCTACGCTCAGTTAAGAAACGAAGCATTTCTTATTTTCAGTATATCACTACAAATGCCACACGCATTACGCAAACATCGTGGCCTTTATTTCCCCAAGAACTTGCGCTGTGGATCTTGCTTTGTTGTGTAACGCCAGCAGAAACGACAATAACAAAAGGGCTGAGCCGGGAGAGCTCCTTTGGCAGCGAAGCTCGCTGTAGCTCAAATGAGAACTGTAGAAGCTCTGCGTGTCAAAGCATGGCTCAGGCTGCTCGGATGCTGCCCCGTGCCCTTGTCAGCTCTCCTGGCGTTACCGTCCCTGCTTAGCTGCAACACCGAGCAGGGAGCAGATGACAACCACCAAAGTCAACTTGTTGGTCAGGCCCTACACGATGTGACTCGCTGTTGTGGTCCTAAGCAGGTCAGGAAAACAGCTAGACATCTTATTTTCCTTTCCTCTAGTTCCTCTCAAGGTGTTGTGCACCTTTGTGTAGGCAGAGTTTAGCCCAGTGACCGGACCAGATTAGATTACTGGTTTGCCAAAAACCCCAAACTTTTTGTGCTATGAAATATTTTGAGAAGAAGCGAAGAATAGCTTTACTAGATGAGACACCAAACCTGCAATTGCACTGCTGGGAAGTGTTTTGGATACCCTCTGGGTTTTTTGTTCAGTTTTTATGCAAGTACGAGATATTAACTCTTCTGTTCAAAACAGACGTTATCTCAATTAATTGAATTCTGCTATCCAACTCTTCCCTTGGCACTTTCAATTAGTAAAGTTTTCTGCATTTTTTTTTTCTAGCATACTTATCTTGGGTTTATACTTGCACAGTAACTGCTGAATCCCACCTGAGAAATGGCTGCATTTCAGAAGTGGATGAGTAACCAGCTAATAAATGATTTTCCAGATATTTTTGGATCTCTTAGGGTGGAGGGCATTAAGTAGCTTTCTAGCGATAGCATGCTAAGGTATTGCTAATCAGGAAGTCCATTCTCTCTGTTAGTGAACACTATGAATTTCTAAGCACCTCTCAAATATTTCCATCAACTCTCTTGGTTTTTTTCTAGAGACTAATGGCTGAAAGCAGTAATAGCCAAACTCTAATGAATGCCGAGCAAGGGCATTTCAGAGCAAACAAATAAATGAACATATATCAAAGTACTGCTTCTCCTGTGCTGCCCAGGGAATGTGAAGGGCAAGCTGTTTTACCGCCCACGCTGGTGCAAAAGGCAGTGTCAGGCCTCGCGGAGCTGCGGAAGCCGGTGGGCTGTAAACCGTGGCCGGAGCCTGGCTGGCTCCCTCGGGCCGCAGCCAGCCTGCTTTCAGCTTGTTCAGATTGCTCAGCTGAGGCAGCCCTCACTATAAATACATTGTCAAAGCTCTTCTGAGAACAGAGAGGTTTCACATCACTACTTCATTTTAGAGAAGTTAAGTGGAAAGTGTGGCTGATTGTTTTGCCTGCCAAATCAGGAACATCCCGCTGCTACCCTCTGCCACAGAGAAAATATGGCCGATCCTGGTAAAGAAATTGAATTAACTCATCTTGTCCATTACTGGGCTTCCCATGGGCCATCCAGTGATCCCAGCGCTGGGATTGTGAAGCAGGGTGCGTTAGCCTCAGCCATCTGCTTGGAAATTATGTTCTGCTTCACAGAGTGACGCTAGCATCACTTAAAATCCTCCAGCTGACAACAGGTAACTTGGTAAGCTTTCATAAACCGGTTCTGTTCAGCCATATGTCCTTGAAAAACATCACCGCTCTTAGCTCTGTAGAGGTAGTTGAAGTCAGCCCTTCGCTGGGTGGGTAGGGCTGACTCCAACAGGCTTTGAAGAAGGAGAAAGCCCCACATCTTGTCTCAAGGTTGTTGTGTCCACATACTTACCCCTGGGTAAAGACATGATCGCTTTTTTCTCTTGGAAACAAATATTAAGAAGTCAGTGTGACTACAAGAAGCAGGAGGCAAACCCCTGTTTTCCACTACCCTTGATTAAACTCATGTAAAATCAAAACACGGACAGATCTCAGGCACTCGTCTGCGTGCCGCTCTGTTTCCTCCCCGTCACTGAAATCCAGGGGGAATGGTAAATGCAGACACAACTTGTTCAAACTGAACAAATTCTTGGGAAAGTGCCATTTCCAAACGTTGTTCTTTTCCCCCATTTGATGGGGAAAGAATATTCAAGATGCAATATCCTCTCCGGTTATTGGCTGGCTCGGTGTATCTGTTAGCTTATTTGCAGCAATAGGAAGTGAAACAGAAATACAGTTTGCATGTCGGGTAGAGATAGCTGCTGTGCTTTATCTGTGCTGTAGCAGGGGGAAAAAAAGCCAGCACAACATGACGTGAAAAACGATTGTATAAACATACTGCAGAAAGGCAGAAGTTGGAGAGTTGAACCTGGAAGAAAGCGGACAAGTTTAGAAGCAGGGATTTCAGTGGGGATCTTGCCTGATGCATCACGGCCATGGCCTGAAGCATATAAACCATTTATCTGTCTGGAAATGGTTACGATTTGTTCTACGGTAGCATCTAAACGATTCAAGCAGTATCTCGGTCCCTTGTGCTTTGCATTGTCCAAAATATGCCTGTCCCAGTTGGGAGAGATGAGCTGGGCAAGACATTTTAGGAAGGGGGAGGATTGAAGTGTCTTTCTCGAGGTCACCAGAAAACGCAGAGCAGACCCCAAAGGTCTGGGTGATGCCCAGTGCAGCACCCCTGGGAGCACGCTGCTCTCCTGCACGTAGGTCCTGCCACCCAGCTTTCCAAATGCTGGTGGTTTTCTGAGGGTCTGTCCCCAGCCTTTTATGTCCATAAGCTGCTCGCATGGCACAGCCCCACCTGGGATGTGTCGTGTGGCAATGGCAATGGGACACCTACTCACCGGGTGAGGTGTGGGGCTGCTGAGGCAACCCAGACCAGGGAACCCCCCTGGGACTGGCCACCTTCAGGGACCAGGGCTGCCCTTGTCTCCCTACGTAACTCTGGGCTGATGGATACAGGATGGTTTGTTCTCAGACCATGGAAATGATTTTTGAGGACACTAGAGCAGCTGTGTTGAAGGTGCTGAAGCTGTTTCAAAAATCTCACCTATGGTAAGCCCTTCAAGTAAATACGGTCTTTGTTCATAAATCTGCAATTCAGGGATGAGCTGGTGATGCTCTTGTCGCTGGGGTGCAATCCCTTGGCCAGCCCCATGAGATATCCTGCCAGAGGGAAGCAGGAGGGACCGACCAGCAGCTGCGTCGAAGGTGCTGAAGCTGTTTCAGAAATCTCACCTATGGTAAGCCCTTCAAGTAAATACGGTCTTTGTTCATAAATCTGCAATTCAGGGATGAGCTGGTGATGCTCTTGTCGCTGGGGTGCAATCCCTTGGCCAGCCCCATGAGATATCCTGCCAGAGGGAAGCAGGAGGGACCGACCTGGCATTCTCTTTGGAGCCATTTCTCTTTTTTTTTTTTTTTTTGCATAGTAAAATGTGATTTCTACTGAGCTGGTGACATTGGGGAACGAAAGGCTGAAATCTGCTTTTCCTGCTGCGAGTCAGAAATAGATCTGGAGAGATGATGACTCACCTGTAATTGAGAAAAACTGAATGGCATCATCATGGGCTTTACCAGTTAAATCCTGGTTCCACCTGCCAGAAAGAACAGACCGACAGAGCTGCAAAAGGCCAAAGGGAGCTGGAGAGAGGGCCCAGCACACGGGAATTCGTCGCTTTCTTACAGCATTTGGCATGTGAGGGGCTTCACACGCCTGCTACACGCGTATCCCAGTGATCCCGCAGCACCGGGCCCTGCAGGGGGTAAATGGAGCTGTAGGGGATGGCAGGTGGGGAGGAGAGCTGGTGGTGGAGCCATGAGAAGCCCCCCCCCAGCCCCAAGGGGAGACCCGCTGGGTGCCAGCAGTGCATGCGTACTCCTCCCTGCCACTTTCCCTGCAGTTCCCGTCCGAAGCAGAGATGATGTCAGAGTTGTCATGGCATCGGTATCTATGGAACCGGGATCATCATCACGGTGCTACCAAAACTAACTCGGGAGATGGTCCTGGAGCCGCGGGGGGGAACTCCCTTTGCAGTAATTGAGGGTTTCCCTCTGTAAGGTTCCTCTCATTCTTTCCTCCTTCCTACTGTCCCTGGGGAGGGAGTGGGGACAGGGTTTGGCCTCCTCCCGTCCCAAGGCAGCTCTGGGTGCCTCCTTTCCTGCACGAGGGAAGGAAGATCTTCAGCCCCATTGGGCTGCCTTTTTTTCACACCAGCTAATGGGTGTGTAACGACGTGCAGCAGCCTCCAAACCTTTCCCTCTGCCACACCAACAGCCAAAGGTCCCCAGCCAGCTGCCACCGGAGGACCCTGCTTGTGCCCTGCCTGCGCTGAGCTGGTGCTGCCGGCTGTGAGGTTCTCTGGTGGTCCCACTCCCCAGCAGAAGTGACAGCAGCCCTTGCCAGGGACACCAGCCCTTTCCAGGGACACCAGCCAGGCTGGTGGACAGAGGGTGTTTATCTTGGAGGAAGCAAGGTGTGCATCTGAGGTGAGCTGAGCAGCGTGGTGACCTCCCTGCACTCCACAGCATCTCCCTCCTGCCAACGGCCCAGGTACTTACAGCCGCAGGTGATGCCCTGGACATACCACAGGTAGCCCTTGTCATTGCACGGTGACGCTGGCATAGCACGGTGACCCTTGTAACAGCACCCTACCCCCAGAAGCAGCATGGTGATGGTGGCCATAGCACAGTAATCCTTGGACTAGCATGGTGACCCTGGCTGTGGCAAGGTGTTTTGGCTGTACTGTGGTGTCCCCAGCTATAGCACAGTGACCATGTCCATAGCGTGGTGACCGTAGGCATAGCATGGTGTCCCCAAACACAGCATGTTGTCCCCAGCCATAGCAAGGTGACCATTGCAATAGCATGGTGTCCCCAGCCATAGCACAGTCACCCTGGCTGTAGCATGGTGACCATGGCCATAGCATGGTGTCCCCAGCCATAGTATGGTGACCTCAGCCATAGCATGGTGACCATGGCCATAGCGTGGTGTCTCCAGCCATAGCAGGGTGCCACAGCACGGTGTTCCCAGCCATAGCATGGTGACCATGGCCATAGTGTGGTGTCCCCAGCCACCGCACAGTGACCCTGGCTGCAGCATGGTGTCCCCAGCCCATAGCAAGGTGCCATAGTGTTGTGTCCCCAGCCATAGCATGGTGACCATGGCCATAGCGTTGTGTTCCCAGCAACAGCACAGTGCCCCTGGCTGTAGCAGGTGACCAAAACCATAGCGTGGTGTCCCCAGCCATAGTATGGTGACCTCAGTCATAGCATGGTGACCATGGCCATAGCGTGGTGTCCCCAGCCATAGCATGGTGACCAAGGCCATAGCGTGGTGTCCCCAGCCATAGTATGGTGACCTCAGCCATAGCATGGTGACCATGGCCATAGCTTGGTGTCTCCAGCCATAGCAGGGTGCCACAGTGCGATGTCCACAGCCATACCATGGTGACCATTGCCATAGCATGGTGTCCCCAGCAACAGCACAGTGCCCCTGGCTGTAGCAGACCATCCTCCGGCTGACCACCTGGGTGAGGCGGGACGGGCGTGCGGGCGGCGGGGGGCTCGGCGGCGGGCAGTGCCCGGGCAGCGGCTGTTGGCCATAGCTTGGTGTCCCCAGCCATAGCAAGGTGGCACGGCGCGGTGTCCCCAGCCACAGCATGGTGACCATGGCCATAGCATGGTGTCCCCGGCAGCCATAGCACGGTGACCATGGCCATAGCACGGTGTCCCCGGCTGCCCACGGTGCCCACAGCCACATCGCGGCGCGTGGGCTCGTGGAAAGAAGGTGGGGGGGGGGAGAGCGGCGCGGCGGGCGCGCGCACCTGCCGCCCCTTCCCCCCGCGCCCGGCGGGTGGTTCCTCCCGCTGCCCGCACGCGGCGCTGCGGACGAACCACCTGGGTGAGGCGGGACGGGCGTGCGGGCGGCGGGGGGCTCGGCGGCGGGCAGTGCCCGGGCAGCGGCTGTGCGGTGGGGCAGTGCCCGGGAGAGGTGCAGTGGCCATTGCAGCGTGCGGTGCCCGGGCGATATGCGGTGCCCGGTGAATCGTGCGGTGCCCGGTGCGTTGTGCGGTGCCCGGGCGACGTGCAGTGGCCATTGCAACGTGCGGTGCCCGTTGCAGCATGCGGTGCCCGGTGCATTGTGCGGTGCCCGGTGCATTGTGCGGGCACCGTGCAGAGCGGGGTCCGTTCCGTGTGCGGCTGCCCCCGCAGCCGTTCGTCGCTCGGTGCGGGGGGTGCACGGCCGTGTGTGGGGGGGGGGGAACCGGCCGGCTCCCAAGGGAGATCCCTCGGGAAGAACGAGTCAAGGTGCGGTGGGTGGATGCGCCGCCGCCTCTTGCCAGTTTTTCTCCCTGGTGCTTGAGCAAAGGGCACGGGAATGGGGTGCGAATCGGGAGGCAGAGGACATTTTACTTCCTCGCACGCTCCGTGCATGCGTGTGTGTGTGTGGAACAAGAAATCCGAGGGCCAGCCCTGCCCAGCTCCCGTTCTTCTTCTGAAAGATGGCATATTATTATTATTTTTTTTGCCCGTTTCCCATATACACCGGTCCCTGCGGCGGAGCAGAGAGCGGGAGCTGGAATATGCCGTGCTCAGGGAAGGCTTCTCTCCCCGGTGGTCCGTGAATAAGCGGCAGGGGAAGCTGCGCAGTGATGCTCGCTGGGGCCGTGGCTGCCCCAGGGCTGAGGGCAGCCACTAATTTGCCTCCCCCAGCCCGGCTTTTACCTGCCAGTAAAAGATCTGCCAGTGTGCGTGGCCCTGGAGGGTCTGCGATGCCTGGCCCTTCCTAAAAGCCCGTCACGGGGAAGGTCTGTCCGGCTCTCACCACGGTTCCTGGCTCTGGTGCTTGGCTGGAGGCTGTGGCTGAGCCCAACCAGGCCTGGGGGGGCTCGTCCTCACGGGTGTCGTGCCTCTGCTGTGCACGGAGGCCCTCGGCCGCCCGCGTTGGCTCTGTGTCACCTTCAGCAGTGCCAAACGCAGGCAGCGAGTGAAGGGAAGGTGTGATGAGAAGGTGTTGCCCCCACCCCGGGTTGCCCTCCTGCCAGCTGACACAACGGGTGCGTTTTTGGGGGGGCTCTCTGGGGTGGGGTGCCCCTGCTGAGGCCCTGCACAGCACAACATGGGAACATGTGCTTATCTTTAGGCACATGAGCAATTCCAGCTGCAATCACAAGCTTAAAGTTGAACCACAGGCTTAAGTGTTTTGCTGGATGGGAGCCAGCGTACTTTCCAGGGCTTTGAGAAAGCCCCCCACCCCACTGCTGGGGGGGCCAGGTATGGATCCAGAGCATCCAGCTTGGGGTAGATGGGGCATTTTGGGCAGGGTTTGGGCACCTGGCAGCAATCGTTTCCTAGAAGCATTGCTTTAGTCCAGAAAACTTGGTCTGGATCCACCTGTATCCTTCTGGAGTGGGAGTGGCAAACTGTTGGCAATGGTGTTGGTTTTGGGCTCGGTTAGATAAACTGATAATGAGTTAGGCTTCTCATAAAATATAACTGCCACCATGCACTGGAGAGCTCACCATCCTTCTTGTATAGAAGGGGTTTGGATGTTGCTGGGAAGCAAGAAAAGAATATGGGATATAGAGATAAAATAAAATTTCCAGACTAGAAAATATTCATGCACGAATTCACTGGCTGGTTTATTCAATGGCAAAGTCACTCGTTTCATGGTTTTGTGTTCATAAGGAGTCTGTGAAAACAGAGTGCTTACAAATACAGAAATGTATCAGCTTAACTCTAAACAAGTGCAGGGACCCACTGACATGGACGAGTGTTGGGTACGCACAGAGCTGTCCCCAGCGTAAATGTTTGCAGGGTTGAGAGTCGGCTGCAAAGCCCGCTGAGCTCAAAGGGACATTTTTTTGCTGTTTTTGGTGGGCTGTGGATCAGGCTGTGGAAACTCACCTTAAAAGCCCTTGGAACCACTTTTCCCAGATCTGTCGGGGACCCTTCTCCATCGCCGCTCCAGCTTGGGGGTTCAGAGCACTGCCTGATCTTTGCTCGGCTGTTGCAGGCTGGTTACCTGTATCTTAGACCCATTCAGAATTTATGGCTCCTTCCCAATGTGAGCAAGGACTTCAGCTGGGTGAAAGCTGTGAGTGGAGGTTTCCTTCCCACCTGCCTGCATGGCCATTGCTATTTCTTGCAGGTGGTGTAAAGCAGAGTGTGCCCGGGCTCCTTCTGAGTGGTTCCTCTGCTGCTCTTGCCAGACGGGACCCATGTCAAGATGGAGAGGTTGGAGGGAGGAGGCAGCCAAAAGATTTTGCTTGCAAGGTCCCTGCTCCCTTTTTGTTCCACCCTGACACCCGTAACTGCTGCCCCGGGAGTGTGTAGCAGTGCCGTGGGACATGGCAGCATCTGGCAGGGACCAACACCCTGCTGTGATGCTCCCCGATTCACAAAGCAAACAGAAACCTCCCCGTGCTGTCTTGCCTGCTGTCCACCCCACAGTGTGGATGGTTACTCAGAAAGCCCTCGACTAGGGCTTTGAGGTGTTGAGGTGGGTTCTCTTTGTGTGGTTTTCCTTCCTGTGCTTTGTTGTTGCGTCTTTTTAAATGTGTTTAACTTGTGCAGTTGGATCAAACCCCAGAGATGTGACCCTTGCTGTGTGTACGTTACGTTCCTTTGGTGAGAAAAGGAGGGAGCTGCCTGAGATGTGCTGGTTTGGTTGGGAGTATGGGTGATGGAGAACCACCATCGTTGTTGATCTGGCCGATGGCCATCGCTGGGGTTTCACGATGAGCTACCGCCAAAGGGGTGACTTCAGTGTAGAAATCCCCAAATGTAAGTGATGGCTGAAGGGGGTTCCTGGTTCTGCCTCACTCAGCAACCTCTCTCTGACAGATATAGTAATTCTGAGTATCTGAAGGGAAAAAAACCCACTCCTGGCTTGAGCTGTAAAATCAAAAGCTGGAAAGAACCATTTAACAGTTCCTCATTCATCTCTTCCCCCTCTGTCTGAAGCAGTTTGTCAGATGAAGATGTGATCACTCTTGTGGTTTCCTTTTGAGACATTTTTTTTGCGCAGCAAAACAAACTCGATATTCACGAAGGATGCCTGCAGAATCATGAGTTCCTTTCTCTGTGACTGCCGGCACCAGCTGGACTTTCAAGTGGCCGTGCAGCTTTGCAGGGGCATTGTTCATTTAACGTAGGTTTAGGTTTGACTTTTAAAAGCAGTTCTGGAAAATATTTTCAGTAATTGCTGTGAATTTCTTTAAGGGCACCGGTAAAAGCGTGATGCCCGGTCCCGCTGGTGCAGCCTGCTCAGAAGGGCTGTTCCATTCTCGCTTCCCTCCACCAACCCAGCCCTTCCCTCTGCCTCTGTGGAGCTCAGCAGCACATCAGGAACCTATTTTACTATGAGATAGAGGAATACTAAAGTATTTTCTGTGAAATGGTTGTTTCTTCCCCCAGTGACCCCTGCTCCTTGTTGCAGGCTGCATGACTTGCACAGCTGGACAACCTTACCTGCAACCAACACATCAGCAGTTGCCTGACCTGATCTGCTGCCTTTACCTCTCGTGTCTTAAAGTTGAATGAAGTTGTAGTTCATCACTTGGATCACTGGAGAGAGCTTTGCCTATGCAGTATTGTATCTCATTAGGCCCAGCGTTCTGTCTGGCTTTTCCTTGCAATAATCTTATGCTTTTAAGAGCAAAACCTTTATGAAGGGACCGGACAAGGGCAGCCAAATCTGATTGCTTGGCAGAGGCACGGCAGCAAAGTGGCAGTCCCTGTGGCCCATGATACATGGTAGGGAACTTTTATCACCGGAGGTTACTTCGGCTCGGATCCAGCAAAGTCTTTATGTGCTCGGCTTTGCACTGATATGGGTTTTAGCCCATAATACAGCAGATCATTGTCTTTCAGCCAGGCAGATGCGCTTTGGGTGTCTGGGTGGTGGTTTGATGTACCAGGAGTAGGTGGTGGTTCTAGGAGGCAGGGAGCATGCCCTGTCTCTCCTGGTCCAGGTGTGTTTTGTTCCTCCAGAGGGATGGAAAGGGCGGTATTTTGTGTTCATGGGAGAAGGTGTGTTTATTTTTGTTAGAAAAATCAAGCTCAGGAGCAGAGGAGCCAACGAAGGGTGGTATTTGTGTTCATGGGAAAAGGTGTGTTTATTTTTGTTAGAAAAATCAAGTTCAGGAGCAGAGGAGCCAACAGTAAAGATGACTATGGCTGCAGGACTGTGGCTGCCCTGCACCCTCAGGACAGAGCTCTTCTGAGGAGTTTCAGAGCCGGGGTGAAGATGCAGAAGTGCTGGTTTGAGGTGCTGTGGGGCGTATATTTGTGTTTGCAGGGCTGCAACACAGAGCTCTTGTTAAGGGTTGGAGTTGGAGCCTGGAAAGCTCCCTCACTGGGGCTGCCCTTCTGCACTCCAGCTGTCCTACAGACGCGGATGGAGGTGGCTCTGAGCTCACCCCAGGAGAAATCAGCAAGAAATATGGGGTGGGAGCCCTGGTGCTGCAAGCTCTGAATAGCTCCTGTGGCCTTCAGGGGTTTCACTGACTCTTGAGCACTTGGGGCT